GTGACAGCCGCCGTTGCGATCGAGTGAAGACTCCGGTCCGGCTGTGAGAAGACGCCGGCGCAGTCGAGCACTCGAGCCACGTCGGCGAGCCGCTTCCAGCCGACGCCGCGATAGCCTTTGTCAAGCGCCGCGTCGTTGCTGCCGCTGATGGCGAGGATCAGACCGATGACGATCGCTCCATACTTGCCGGCGAGCTCGTGCAGCGTTTTACTCGGTTCGCTGAGCTGCGGTCGCGTCGCGGAGATCTTGCTCAGGTCGTGCAGCAGCATCTGCCCCGTGCTAGACCACCTCCTCACCTTGCTGTGGTCCGGGAAGACGACGGGCACACTGTAGGTGAACATGTCGCCGTCTCGGAAGAGGACGGCGGCGGGCTTCCCCGACGCGATGAGCTGCGAGCACAGCATCGCCCCCAGGTGATCGTTTTCCACGCCCGGGCGCGCCACAAGCACCTCCACGCAGATGCTGCCGGCACGCGTCTCCCCAAGCAGCGCTCGAAGCAGCGCTTGCTTCAGCGGACGCCCGTGTGAGCAGGCGAGGACCGCGTTGCGGACCTTCTTGTCTGCCTTGGCGGCCGCCAGCAGCTGCGGCGAGCTACCCGCTCCCGTCGAGGCGAGCAGCTCGCGCGCCGCCGCCACAACATCCGCGCGCCGCTGCTGCTCGCGCATCGGGGGTGTATCGGCGTCGTCGCTGGCGCCGCCTTCGATGACGCCCTCGAAGAGCAGGACGAGCTGGCACGCCCAAGCCGCGCAGCAGCGCACGGTGCGAAGAAAAGCTTTGACCAACCCGCTCGCGTCTCCATAAAACCACTTGCAGCAGGCTTCGATGTTGGATCTGCACACGACGGAGTGTGAGAGCAACGACGCATCCGCGAGGACGACGGTGTGTCGCCACTGGCCTCCCATCAGGCTGATGTTGGTCGCAGCGCTCTTGGCGATCGGCGTGCCGTCCGCCCCTCCCATCTTCTACCTGCACGACGGACGGTGCGCCGTTCCGACATCACTTGCCGTGTGCCCCACGTCGCGGGACGTGTTTGTGGTAAGCAGCCGGGCGTGCGGCGCTGGCGAGTGTCCAGCGAGTGTCGTCGGCAGTGCGGCGGGTGGGAGAGGAGAGGCGACAGTGCGGCTAGTGGGAGAGGAGAGGCGGCAGCAGAGAGTGGGTGCGCTATGTAATATACTGGCGAGACCTCGTCGAGAGGGTAGGCCTCTGCTCTCCAAGACCGCTGCTTGCGACCTAAAGTCGCAAACGGCACCACTCTGATGCAGCAGCGTGCACGGTACGTGGCCTCCCTACCATCTCGCACTCGTACACAGTAGCCGCAGCGTAGACAGTACCTAATTTGCGAGCTAGAACCGATTAATGGGCGATCCTTGGCTCGCATCGAGCGCAGGTGGCCCGATCCTCGCGGCTGTCCTCGATATCATGGTGTGCAATGCCGTGGGGTGGAGGTGTGGCAGGGCTCGGGCTGTCTCGCGCTCTCACAGTGAGAGGTGGAAGGCACGGCAGTCCCACCAGCGATCCCTTCGCGGCAGCCCATACGAGCGGAGAATCAGAGGAGCCTCACCGTGTGATGCGTCTCTCTCTCTACCGGGAGAGCGGATGGCGTTTGCGTTGGCCGGATATTGCCGTCGGCGGAGCGTGCCAGCTGGCTCGGCGGGGTCGGAGGGCCGTGCTAGCGACGCTGCTAGCAAGAGGCGAGGTGCGATGCGGCGGCGTCGTACCGTTGGCGTCAGAGACTCGGACGCGCGACGGCGAGCCGGCAGCTGCGTCTCCTGGCACGAGGCGGGCGGCCGGGCGGCGCTCTCTCGAGTCGTCGCCCTGGACTTCGCCTGGCTTCAGCCAGGATGGCTCTGATTTAGGCGGGATCGCCAGGGTGGGGGAGGGTGACCTCCGATCTATGATCTGTGATCGGTGAGGGTCCGCCCGCAGGCGCATTTTCTATACCGAGGCGGTGCCCGGTGCCGAGCGCAGGCAGTGCCCACAGGTCAGACCTTAAGACAGCATCGACCATTGTAGTCTCTCTCTGCACTCTGGGCGCCAGGGTTGGATGGGTGGTTGGTGGAGTCGAGGACCACGAGGAGTACCCGTATCCCGTCGGGTCAGGGCTGAAGGCGGGGGAGACCAACCCGATCTCTCCGGCGTCCCGGGAGCGTGATTGACACCGCCCTCTGTCTGTGCCAACAGCCCCCCATCGCCCATGGAGGTTCAGGTAGGAGGCCGCTCGCGTCTAGCCAATCACGAATCAGCTTATAGCGAGCGGCCTGGAGCTCTTGGTGTTCGGCCAATGGCGGCCGAGTCTCTGGTGGACCCCATCGCCATGCTGGTTAACACTCTGGTTATTACAACGCGCAGCGTTATGAACAAGTACCATCTCCGCGATGTTACTTCCCCCAAAATAGATAGAACCGCTGGAGTTTGCCCCGCATCCACACCGGCGCCTGCTCGATCGTGCTGTCGAGCGCGCTCGCCACGTAGCGCGCAAGCGACGCGCTCCGCAGCCGCTCCGCACTCCACACCGCGCGCTTGCCGATATCGTACAAGCAGCCGTCAGCGAGTCGTTGATCGCTGCCATCAGCCGCGAGTCGCTCCGCGCAAACGACGCCAGCGCCGCCAGTCCATGGCCGAGCACAGCGTCGCCCACGCGCAGGCGCGGTGCGCCGCCGACGCAGCGAGCCACGTCTGCAGCGCAATCGCTGCCGGGAGGACCGGGGTCGCCGGGGTACACGCCGAGGACGTTGAGCACGTCGCGCACGCGCAGCTCGCACGCGACCTCGCACGTGCAGCTCGACCTCGCCGTCCGCGGGCGGGGAGCTCTTCTCGGCCTGAGCACGATCCGAAGGTTCACGGCGCCGCGCGCGTCGAAGTGCATCCAAACAGGCCCGCTGATTGAGCCGGGCGTCTCGGCCAGCCGTAGCACGCGTGGCCGGCCGGCGTCGAAAGCGAGCTCGGGCTCCGGCAAGCCCGAATACCCCAGCCGAAGCATCGAGGCGGCCGCCGCCGAGCCCGCCACTGCCGCGTCGAGGTCAATGACTGGCAAACGGCACGTCGGCGCCTCGGACCGCACTCGGCGGGCCAAACCCACCATGCCCACGTGCGCAGACGCGATAGAGCGACGTGGCGCCCGCGCCGGACGAGAAGCTCGACGCCGCTCCGGAGAGGACCAGCGATTATCGCCGCCGCCTCGGGGACGGCGACGGTAGACAGCGCGCGCGCTGTCCATGCCGGCACGTACAGGTGCCTCTTCGGCGACCCTGCACACAGACAGGAGGGGTGACAGGAGGCTAGTCGACAAGTGCGGGCCGGGGCCGGAGGGAGGGCGGACGCGCGGGCGAGGCGCGCGGGCAATCTCGTCCGCCGTCGCACGCGCACACACAACAAGTGCCACGGCGAGGCGCCTTGTGAAGGAGGTGCAAACCATCCCTCAGACGGTCCTCGCGCGATGGCTGTGTGGCGCGGGAGACCGCAGGAGCGAGAGGGGGCGGGCCCGGGCCGGAGGGAGGGCGAACGCGCGGGCGAGGCCTGCGGGCGTCGAGGGCTGCAGCTGGCCCGTTGTCTCCGTGCTCAGCCTGCCGAGAAGAATTCTGAAACAAAAGGTTATTCCCACTTGCAGTCTAAGACTGAAGCAGTCTGTGAAGTTTTCAGACTGGGTCAGACTGCATCAGACTGCTTCAGACTACTGCTCAGACTGGGGGAGCACAGTCTGACACAGTCCGCCGGAGTCTGACGCAGTCTGGCGCAGTCTGACACATGTTCAGACTGCACCTCAGACTGCACCAGACTGCGCCAGACTGGAGGCATGCGCTCCGACCGACCCACACTCTCGTGCTTGCTCCCTGGTCCCTCGCCAGACTGCGCTAGACTGCGTCAGACTCCGCTAGATTGCATCAGACTGCCTCAGACTGCTTCAGACTTCCTCAGACTGCTTCAGACTGCTTCAGACTGCTTCAGACTGCTTCAGACTGGAGCAGACTGGAGCAGACTGGAGCAGACTGCGGCACCCCTGACCACCAGGTCTGAGGCCCGTTGCCAGCCGTTGCCGTCTGCTCTGCGCGGATCCGTTGCCAGATTTTGCGACAAGGTTGCGCCCCTTCTGCGGATCAAACCCTCAAATGAGAGGAGTCGCGTTGCTTGAGAGGAGTGGGTGATCACTGGTTGTGAGCACAGAAACATGCGCAACATCAAATTCTTTGCAGCACGGCGATCGTCATCACGTCCCCGCGCAGAGCGTCCCACGCAAAGCTCGAGACGCAAACCTCGTCGAGCGGGCTTCAGCGCCTCGGATCATGGAGCGCAAGCCCAGAGGGGCTGATTTTGGACAGTCCAAAATGCATCGGGTCAGGACGGATCATGCGTGATGCCCTCGCTTCACATAGGTCCCGCGTGCGCAAATGGGCGTGGACGCGCAGGCGCGGCTCGCTTTGCAAGGTCGCTGAGGACTGTTCCGCGGGCGTGTTCCGGGGGGGGGCTCGTAAGTTATCTTAACCCTCGTACGCAGATGGGTTTGAGTGATTTTGGCCCCCCCCGCCCCTAACATTATGGCCGACAGCGCGGCTGGGAGGCTAATGTTAGGGGCGGGGGGGGGCGATCTGGTGTCCAGACCAGGGCGCGGCGCTATGAAAAGACGTATTTTGTCATATCTGCGTACGAGGGTTAATGGGCAAAGTCGGCGAAATCGAAAATGCCTGTTTTCTCGTTTTTCGTGCACTACCGGCCACAGCTGTGCCTCAGGCATCCAAGTCGGGCAACATGTGGGCGGCACGGGACCGGAGGCTTGGCCCTAGGCCGAAGAAAGGGTATGCGAGGGTGCTCGCGAGAACCAAAAAAAAAACGGCATTCGCCAGCAATCACTGTTCGAGGAAAGGACCTCTCAAGCTCGCGAGCCAAGCTCAAGCTCGCGAGGACACATAGAACATATGATCCACCGCCTCTCCGCTTTCGCGCTCTGCTGCCTCGCCTATGCGCTGCTGCTGGAGCCGCGGCCGCTGCAGCCAGCTGCGCGCGCTGCCATCGCCGCGCCGGTGCGGAGTCCTGTGCCGCTCATGAAGGGCAAGGCCAAGGCTGCAAAGGCGGTGAAGGTGCTGCTGACCGGCGACGTCAAGGGGCTGGGCAAGGCGGGTGAGCTGGTGGACGTCAAGCCTGCGTACGCAGAGAACTTTCTCGTGTCCAAGGGCCTGGGAAACATCGCGTCGAAGGAGGTGATTGCGCGCGTGGCAGAGGAGGCGGCGGCGGCTGCAGCGGCAGCGGCCGAGGCGAAGAAGGCCGCCGTCGAGTGCAAGGCCTCGCTCGCGCAGACCTTCGGCAAGAACGGACTCTTCATCGAGTGCCAGGTCGGGCCGAACGGCAAGCTGCACGGCTCAGTGACGGCTCAGGACGTGGCCAGCCTCATTGATCAGCGCGCAAACGTGAAGCTTGACAAGCAGAACATCGCGCTGCCATCAATCTCGGAGCTTGGCACCTACTCCGCAGATCTGAAGCTGCACCCGGAGGTTTCCATGAAGGTCGATCTCGTGGTGAAGAAGAACCCGATCACCATCTCATAGACGTGGCATTGCGCGCGCTGCCACGTGCCAGTAGCTAAAAGAGAGAATAAATCAGAGCACGCGCTGACAGCCTTGCAGTCAACGTGTGCTCCACGATTATCTTCTAGTAAACCAAAACTGCTCGGCGAAAAATAGGAGTTAAAATCCGGAGGGACCGTGAGAGGTCCGCAGCTGGTCGCGCGCGTGACCGAGACCGTGTGTGACTCTGTGTTCAAGTACTGTTTCGAGCGCGGCCCCGGCCCGCAAAAATAAGCGCAACGCGCCGCCAAGCCGCAAGCGCACAACAAAGAATAATGCCAATGGCCAGCTCACACGTGGCAGCGGGAGCGGCGCGCTCCGCACTCCGCGCAATAATCGACGCGAGTGGGGAGTGTGGGCGAGTCCTTTGGTTGGGTCGCGACGAGACAAAGACGGGCCTGGCGGTGGCGGGGGCGCCGCGATCATATATTGCAGCGCGGTGTGGCAGTCCTCACCGGCACAGTGCGGACCGGTGCAGCTTCAAAACGGGAAGGCGCCCTCCATCCAGCTGAGGGGGTTAGGGATGACGACGTGTGGCGTGTTCTCGTCGCCTCCGAGGCCAACCTTTGCGCCTTCGCCTGCGAGCAGGTCGGGTAGCGGGCGAGGAATAAGGGTGCTGCGAGGCCGAGCCATCGCAGACCTAGAGGGCCGGGAAGGTGGCACTCACCCAGTTTGACTGGGAAGCACGGCGCCATGCACGGCGTCCCGCCGACGACACACACCTTGAAATCTCCGTCAGCCTGCCGTGGGAGCAACCGCAACGGCCAACGCTGAGGTTTTGGGGGCTAGAGACCTCGCTAGGACGCTGCACAAACCTTGGCGATGCTCATCTTCGAGATTCTCAGGTTGAGGTCGTTGGCGCCTGCCTCCCCGTCGCCGCCGTATGGCATCCACCACGCGACAACCTGCCGAGGTGCTGTCTGCGTAAAGAGAGCGCCGGTGTGCGGCGGCGGCGGATGCGGCGCAGACACGCCTCGATGTCGGCAAAGCCCACCATGAACTCGGAGGCGGAGAGCACGGGCAAGAAGTTCATGAGCTTGCCACTGAGGCGCATGTCCGGGTCTGTCGTAAAGGCGACGCTGCTGAGTAAGAGGGACATCCGGAGCGGGCCCGACTGACACATTGCCGCCGTGACAGACTCCGGCGTGATCCCGACCCCGCCAACCTTAATCTCATTGATGTGGCCAACAACTTCACCGTCTGCTGCCGATGCACCGTCGGCGAAGCTGAATGAGAGTGTCATCTGGGCAGGGGGCGGGGGGGGGGGGGTTGAGAGGCGGTCGCCTGGCACGCGTCAATGCCAAGAGCTCACCGTCCCGACTGGACTCGGGACCTGGATCGGAGTCCCCGTCGTCTGGCTCTCCTACTTTGCACTGTCGGGCTGAGTCTCCTTTCACAGTCGGCGCCCCCCCCGTGGCGGTTGGTGCACCGCTACGGCGCTGTTGATGGCTTTGCTCAGGATGTCGCTCGAGCATAGCTAAGGCGGGGAGAGGGAGGCGCGTCGGAGAGCACATCCCGCCCGCGGTGTTGCTTTGGCCTGGCGCGTTTAGTGCACCACGCCAAACATCGAATTAATAAAGCCCTCGAGTTGCGGTATGATCGCGTTGATAATAGCGTCGCCAGCTGCGTTCGCCATGTCACCGGCTGAGTTCCACGCGTCCTCAAAGATGCCGCGTTCGTTGGCGCCCGGTGCAAGGCCAACGCTGGCGTGTAGCGTACTGAGGGCTTCCTTCTTCCACCTGTATCTCTCGATGAGATAGCTCGACATGCAGTTACCTCCGCCACCGGGCAAATGCTGCTCGTGGACGTCGAATGCCAAGTATTCCTGCCCCGTCCCATCTGGCTTGACCCGCCCATCCCCGCTTGGGTCGGGATTAACAGGAACCAGGCCTTGCTTCTTCTGCAATGCCTGGGATGCCTGCTTCTGCTTCCTCTGCTCTTCTATGCTCATGGTAGATCGCAGGTAGACAGACGTGCTGCCGGCATACAACGCCCCTGGAGCGACGGACATGTCGACGACCGACGGGGCGCAGGGACGGCCGCGTTTCGGCGTGCGCCGTGAATTGATTAGACGGGTTGTCTAGGTGTATTGTTGGGTTGTAGAAAAAACTTCAAGAAAAGAGAGCGCACGCATTTTCTTTCTTTTCGAGCGAAACCTCGTCCTCAGTCGTTACGCGGCCCGGCGCAGTCATGGCGGAGGATGGCGACCTTGTCAACGCGAAGCTCTCCCGGCTCGCCGAGCTCCGAGTGGAGGAAATGCCGGATGCGTATCGGGTCAACAGTCGCAAGGAGGAGCTCATGCTTGAGTGCGTGATTGCCACCTTTGGTTCATCGTACTGCGCCCCCGCTCACACGTCGGCGGCGAATGGTAGGTATGTTGGCAAGTTCGTGCGTCACTTCTCGTCGCTGCATCCAGAGCGCCCACCGCTCATGCTCACCCCATGTAACGAGTGCGGCCGTCGCAAGTTCGTGTGCACGACGCTGCGTCCGACCCAGGCGAGGCCTGCTTTGACGTGTCTCTTTGCACGACATCGCTCAGCAACCCGCCTCTTCCCCGGCTTAGGTGCCGTACACTGAGCTCTACGACTACGACAAGTGCGCACGATTCGTGGCGCAATTCATTGCCTACGAGCCGCTGGATCTTCCCACTTCGCTGCCAGCCATCCTGCCCTCGCCTGCCACTGTGATGGACTGGCAGGCGGGCGACAGCTTTGATTGTGCGCAACTTTTGTGCTCGTTGCTGCTCGGTGTCGGGTATGACGCATACGTTGTGAGTGGCTACGCCCCAAAGGCAGTTGCCCTGGCCGATCAGAGTTCGGTCATCTTGCCAGCACTCAGACCTGCGCCAGCGGCGCCGCCTGCTGAGAGTCCGCCCCCCAAGAAGTACGCGGTGCGGCCCCGCAAGGCGCTCTCCTCGAATTTCCTCAAACAGAGAGAGGCGGAGATCGCTGCCGCCGCCCACGGAGATGCTACTGCACTAGCGCCAAAGGGCCAGGGCCAGTCGGAACCGGCCCTCCCAGCGGCTGATGAGGATCATCAGGTGGATGAGCTGCAAGGGCGGCGTGTGCATGCGTGGGTGCTCGTGCTCGCTGGCAAGCGGATGCTGGAGGCGTCGCTCTTCCTCGAGCCCACTACCGGGTCGAGCTACTCGCTCAGCAGCGCGCCCTACCGCACTATTGAGTCCGTGTGGAACACTTCAAACTATTGGGTCAACCTGCAAGGCCCGCTCCCCCCGGCGGAGCTTTCTTACGACCTCGCCGCGCCGGCCAAGTGGGAGGGTTTGCTGGCGGAATCGGAGAGCGAACTGGTCGACGACAATGACGATGACCCCACGCTCGCCGCGGCGGAGCTGGCAGCGGGCAGAGCCGGTACACCGGGCGCTGAGCCACCGCAGAAGGTGGGGGTAGAGGCGGGGGCCAGTGCTCTGGCGGCGGACCGCACACGGATGGACATGCCGCCCGCTTGGTCCGCCCGGATCCGCCTCGATCGCGAGCGTCTGCAGGCCCGCTGCCCGGCCGCGCAGCGGCTGACGACCTACCATACGGCCCATCTGGAGCAGTTCCCGCCTTATTCGCGCGAAGACGGGCTTGTGGAGAGGATGACCATCTTTTCAGACATCGAGATGGAGGACGCGTACGAGGTGCGCGAGAGCTACCGCAACCGCAAGGACAAACTGTCCTCGCGAACCGTGAATCAGCGGGAGGGCCGGACGGTCGAGACGTTCGAGCCGGGCCGAAGCCGCGCCTTGCGCGAGCTCGTCTCGATCGAGGGCTCGCGCCGCGAGTTCCGGTACTATGACGGAGCCCGGCTCGACGGCCTGATGTCGCGCACCGAGGTGTTTGGCGACAAGACAACCCTCACCTACTCGGGTGACGGCAGCACGCTCACCCAGCGCACCGCATCGTACGCGGAGGCGTCGCCGGGGTCGGGGCCGACTGTCCGAAAGATGACGGAGCGCTACCGCAGAACGGACGAAGTCGACGCGGAGGCTGACGTGGCTAAGCGGACGTTTGACTTGGCCAACGGCGTCATCAAGGTGCGCTACCACTTTGGCCAGGACCGCGTCACGCGCTCTTGGCGGACATACTCAAAGCAGGGCCACAGGGTCGTGCAAGTGGACCCCTTTTCAAGGACGCCGACCGACACGGAGCTTCAGGAGGAGTACGCGCAGCTGCAGCAGGCGGAGCGAGAGAGCCTAACACAGCTGCGCGAGACCGACCGCCAGGCCAAGGACGAGCTGACGAGGCGCGCAGATGAGGAGGCGGTGATCGCGGAGGCGATGGACGAGGACGAACAGGTCTTTGGTGACGGCAACTTTGCGCTCCCGCGGCACCTCTCCGTCTCGGCGTACGACACGGGGCGCAGCAAGCTTGTGCTCTCGCACGACGAGACGGAGGAGGTGGCTGAGGTGCCGCGCGATTTTCTCACGCCCTTCCTGCCGAGGCAGCTGTCGCCCGAGGCGCCGCCGCTCACACGCGAGGAGGCGCTGCGAGTACGCGACGACTGCTTGCGTTCGCTCAAGGACAGACTCGTGGAGCGCGCCACCATTGTGCAGTCGCGCCTCGACGAGGAGAATGCAGCGCTCTCCAAGCGCCAGACGACTTTCCAGCGCAACCGCGACCACATGGACCCGAGGGAGGAGGAGGAGTACGAGGCGTTTTGTCAGGAGGCCATGTTCCGCATTCAGATCCTCGAGCAGCGCCTCGAGCGACACACCGAGCTCTCCCTTCACAAGTACGCAGAGCTGGACACACGGCTGCGGTCCGATTTGCGCCTTGCCGCGCTCGCTGGCTAAACCGACTCCTGTGTGTCACAGTGTGATGTCTTGTCCTGCGACACCTCGTCTCTCCCGCGTCCGGCGCCCCACGCAGGGCCGCCGCGATACCTCCGGCTCCGCCGCACGTGTCCGTGAGCGGATGTGCGGTCCGGTCGGCTCGGATGACGGGCACGGGGCCGTCCACTGTCGTGTCCACAGCGCGCGCGGGGTCCGCCGCACCGCCGGAGCGCGGAGGCGGAGCCCGGACTTTCCGGCGTGCCGCCGAGGCTACTGCATGTGCAGTGCTCTGGGCGAAGCGGCGTTTGCCAACAGAGTTTATTTGATATATGCATTTTAACAACATTAGCCGGGGCGCCACCGCGGCGCGAGCGAAGCTCTGAGCTCCCGCCCGTCCGCACCATCGCAGTTCTCACCCGCCGGGCCGGCCGGGAGCGCCGAGTCCTTCCAAGCGCAAGCGAGCGCCGGACGACAAAGGCCGGGAACCAAAGTGTCGCTCTCCTCATGCCGTAACCGCGGCCCTGCGAAGCAGAGCGCCAGAGTCTCAGGCGTCCCCGCGAGAGGGGGCGTCCTAGCGTACGGCGGTGGGTACTCCTCTAGAGAATTCACTTGGTCCACAGCTTGCCCGCGTCCGCCTTGCCCGCCATCAGGTCCTTGTAGAAGCCGTTGGTCTCCTCGATGACGTGCACGGCCTCCTTGGCGCTGAGCGCCTTCTCGCCGTGCCCGAACGCGTTGATCGGCTTCCCGTCCGGCGTCTTGTACCACCGGAACCACTCGCGGATGCCAGAGACGGTGCCCGGGTAAAACTTCTCAATGTCGTCCACGTCGTTGATCTGCGCGGCGTGCTCGTCGGCGGCGTTGATCGCGATCAGCTTCCAGTCGAGCTCGCCGTCGTCGATCATCGAGAGCACACCAAGCGGCTGCGCGCGCGGGGAGGAGGAGGAGGAGGAGCGGCCCGGTGAGTGGCGGGGCAACCGGGTCGGCGGCGGTGGCGGGGCCGCGGTGCGAGGCGAAAGTGCAGCGGCAGAAGCGAAGGCATGGCGGCGACGGAGGCGGCGGGCACGCTGGCTGAGGCGAGGGTGGTGTCGGGCTCGAGGGTGGCTGGCTCTGTGGCGGAGCAAAGGGCGGCGGAGCAAGGGTGGCGGCGACAGAGGCGGTGTTGAGGGGGCCGTGTGTGCGCCTTGACGGGCGTGACGGAGCCCATCGAGAGGGAGGCGGCGCCAATCTCGACCACGTCGAGCGGGTCGTTGTCGCCGAACGCACCGCCCACGTTCTCGTCGCCCTTGACGTTGGGGTCCTCCCACGTCTGGGGCAGGCAGCCGTAGTTCCAAAAGATCGGGCCGTGGTACAGCCGCGCCTTGCCCTTCTTCTCGTCCTGCTTGATCGGGTTGCCCTCCGCCTGGAAGGGACAGGCCGGCACGTGAGGACTGGCTCTGCCCTGGTCGCTACTTCGCCGGCATCCCTGTGCTGCCGATGTGCTACACCCAGCGGCCGGGAGAACCACACGCCTTGGTGTCAACCTCCATCTTCTTGAGGGTCATCTTCGGAATCTCGGTGAGCATGTTGTAGAGGCCGTTGCCCGCCTCCAGCGGGATGTCGTGCCACGGCGAGATGACGGCGCCATCGCGCTTGAAGGTCATCGTGAAGTCGGTCGTGCCGAACTCACCCGCCTCCTCAAGCGTGATGTCCATGAGAGGGTTGCCGCCGCGCGCGGCGCCACCAGCCAGCTTGGTGACATGGCGCATGCTGCGCACCGCAGGCCGGGCGGCGACATTGTAGCCAGAGTAGACCGAGAGGAGGGCGAGCATGCTGGGAGAGAGGCGGAGATGGAGTGGAGAAGGGTGTGGCAGCCGAGTGGCAGAATCGAGAAAACCTAAGGTTCGGACTGCTTGTTCCCCGCGAGAGCGCGACCTAGACTAAGAACCAGGGGCTCCAGGCCCCACTGTTCCACGTGAAGACTCATTAGTAGCTCTGTGTCTTCATCTGCCAACAAGATTATCTCTTCAACACGGCCGTCCCCTCGACGTGCGCACGTTACAAATCTGCGGCCCTGCATTGGATGTTATTCGAATATTTTATGTGTGTTGCTCTCTCTCTATGCTGAGAGAGCATCGCACGCCCCGCTCCCCATTGTTATGCGCACACAAATAGTGTGACGCCCAGCGAGTGCCGAGTGGCGTGCCTCTCCATGTGATCGAATGCGCGGGTGCGGCGCATGCACACACACTAATGGTTGGGTAGTAGGGCTAGACGCTGTATGGTCGGGGGCCATGACCCATGTCCTTAAAGCCGTACTTAGACGACAAGAGCCTTTGGCCCCAAACCCGGGTATACCTGAAAAGCCTCCAGGTTTACCCAGGGCCAGTGCGCTACTTGCGGCGCGCAACGCCTGCTCAAGTACGCGTGGGTTACCGTACCATGTGCTGCCGCTCTTATGCGTGCCTTAAGGCGGCTGCGGCGAAGCGGCGGGCGCGGCATGCCGATGGCAGTGCGGACGATGCGGTTGCGATGTGTTCTGCTTCAAGATCGTGGCGGTGCTTGGCATGCACTTCTGCGATCCCAATCAGCTCATCGCAACGAAGCAGCGCAACAAGCTGGCTGCTGGCGAAGAAAATTTGGGGGCTGCGCCGTATCTCGTTGATCACGGTGGGAGCTTCTTGGCCCCAGGCCGTGCCACGGCCGACTTAGCCGATGTAAGAGGCTCCCGCTGATCTTAGACCGCGCAAGCACTCCAGCGTGGCTAGCCACACTTAGACCCGCTAGGCCTCGAGGCTCAGAACTTAGACTACTACCCAACCAGTCACACACTCCAACTGCGAGATATTTACGTCACGTATATCGTACTGGGTCACGACTCACGTAAAAGCAACTCGATTGCTAGCCCTCTTGCCCGCAACCCGATGCCAATCATCCGGCCCGCTGGGTGCGCTTCTTACATCTTGATCTTAGCTCCCCGGCCCTGGATGTCGTGCGGTTGATGACTGCACTCCAAGTGCTCCCAGATGAAGCATGCCTCCGTGTGTGTGTGTGTGTGTGTGTGTGTGTGTGTGTGTGTGTGTGTGTGTGTGTGTGTGTGTGTGTGTGTGTGTGTGTGTGTGTGTGTGTGTGTGTGCTCACTCACTCACACGTGCCTCCCCATGTTTGTAGCCTGGCGTTTGTGGATGTGCCGCTTTCATTTCATTTAATAAGACGGCATTTACTCCCGCGCCCACAGGTCCGACAGGTTCGGTACCACGCACCGCCTCGGCATACAAAATGCGCCTGCGGGCGGACCCTCTCCACCCTCACAGCTCACAGCTCACTCCCGCTCCCCCACCTCGATCTTCTTGGGCAGCAGCTGGTGCGACAAGTCCTCTCCGTGGCCTAGGCAGCCGTTGGCGCCCCTGCCCCAGGCAAAGAAGGCGCTGTCGGCGGTGATGGCGATGCTGTGTTCGTCTCCTGCCGACACAGAGACGACGCGCTGGCCAGCAAAGGCCTCGACCTTCTTTGGCAACAGCTGCTGCTGCTCATCGCCGTGGCCCAGCTTGCCAAAGCCTCCCAAACCCCAGCTCCAGACGGCTCCGTCGGCGGTGAGGGCGAGGCTGTGGTCGTCTCCAGCCGACACGGCGACGACGCGCTGGCCAGCCAAGGCCTCGATCTTCTTGGGCAGCAGCTGGTGCTGCTGGTCGCCGTGGCCCAACTGGCCAGCGTATCCAAAGCCCCAGCTCCAGACGGCTCCGCCGGCGGTGAGGGCGAGGTTGTGGCTGCTTCCAGCCAGCACAGCGATCACGCGCCGCCCCGCCAAGGCCTCGATCTTCTTCGGCAGGAGCTGGTCCTGCCGGTTGCCGTGGCCCAGCTGACCAGAGCCTCCACAGCCCCAGCTCCAGACGGCACCGTCGGCGGTGAGGGCGAGGCTGTGCGACCATCCAGCCGCAACAGCGACGACGCGCTGGCCAGCCAAAGCCTCGACCTTCTTGGGCAGCGGCTGGTGCTGCGTGTCGCCGTGGCCCAGCGCGCCCAAGCCTCCCTGGCCCCAGCTCCAGACGGCGCCGTCGGCAGTGAGGGCGAGGCTGTGCATACCTCCAGCCGACACGGCGACGACGCGCCGGCCAGCAAAGGCCTCGACCTTCTTCGGCAGCCACTGGGTCTGCTCGTCGCCGTGGCCCAACAGGCTGACGCCTCCACTGCCCCAGCTCCAGACAGCTCCGTCGGCGGTGAGGGCGAGGCTGTAAGAATCTCCAGCCGACACGGCGACGACGCGCTCGCCACCCAGCGGAGGGAGGCGTGTCGGCGTGTTGAGCCGCAGCACGCCCTCGCCGTGACCGAGAAGGCCTGGAAAGTCCTCCGCGTCCTCCTCCTCGTCCTCCTCGCCCTGTGCTGCCGTGCCGCACGACGAGAGCCGCCCCTCGCCGTCGATGAAGATGCTGTGCTGCATGCCTGCGGCCGCCCTCGCCGGCGGGTTGGACTCGCGCAGCAGCGCCGACAAGCACAGCCACCGCACGGCACAGCCCTCGCCCTCTGGCTGCGCCGGCAGCTCGAAGCCGCGCTCTTGCGCCCACAAGCGGATGGCCTCCACCGCGAGTGAGCCGTGGAAGAGGAGCGAGACGGCCGCGACGCGAGCGATGTCGGCGGGGTCGCAGCGAGAGAGGGCGCGCACGATGAGCTCCGTGGGGAGGTCGAGGAGGCGGGCGGGCGGCGGCGTGCCTGGCGAGGGAGCGGCGGCGGCGGCGGGGGCGAGGCGGCGCGAGCGGCGCGAGCGGCGCGAGCGGCGCGGCTGGGTGGACATCGCGAGAAAAAGAATTTTGCGGCGCGACTCTCTCGCCGACACCGGGTACGGGACGAGGTGCAGCAGGAGGCGGTCCGCAGGGTATGCGGCGCGCTCGGCATGAGGGAGCAGTTTGAGGCGGCGATGGCGGCGGGCGAGCTGCTCGAGATGCTCGAGAGCTTGCCGCGAGGGGCGGTCGAGGCCTCTGTCCGACAGATGCGGGGTTACAACCGCACGGGCGAGTGGCCAGAGCCCATTCTCACCAGCCCTGCCCCGCAGCGCGGCCGCTCGCCAAGCCCCGTCGATGAGTGGTCAGATGGTTAGTGCCCGAGAGCGAGGGGTCCGGGGGGGAGCACAAACATAGGACGCCCAGCCTTGCCCTCGTGCCGCCGAGTGCATATCCTATGCGAGAGAGATCCCCTGTGCCCTGTGCCCAGCCCTCTCCGCGCGGCGATGCGCCCTCCCCCCTCGCTTTTGCAAAATCCTGCAAAGGTGGGGACGTGTCTGTCCTCGACCCAGCCCTAGCTTGGGATGTCCGTTGTATTTATTTATTTATTACCGGGTACGGGACAAAAAGAATTTTAGAAGGACTCCCTCGCACAACACTGGGCACGGGACTGGCGCGCACTGGCACTAACACAGGTACACCAAGAACCGCGTGCAACGAGAATTTACACCAAGCCCCTCTCGAGTGAGAAAGAAAAGTCAGAAAGAAGTGTCCGAGAACCCGAGTGCGCGCGCGCGGCTCCTCCTTACCGCCCACGCAACCGACGGTGCGTGGAGCACTACACAATTTACCACACAATGCTCAATGGCAGGCGAAACACAGACCACATTACGAACTGAAGGGAGACTCATCGTTGGTATTAGCTACGCGTTGTCCAGCGGTCTTGTACGGGCACTTCCTGGCTGCGCAGAGACGTCAAAGCCCACCGGCTTGAGCCCTCAAGCTCGGGGCCAGAGCGGCCCAAAGGCTCGAAGCTCGCGGGACACGGATCGCGTGGGCCAATCTCGTGGTCGCAACAGAGGACCTCTCCTCTATCAGCGTCGGTGCGTAGGATTTATCGTCCAGGAGCTAGTCCTGTAACTCGCCGACGAGGGGGTGGCGGGAGCGCTCGGCGCTAGGCATTGGACGATAGAGCCGGTCAGCCGCAGCAGTCCCAGGGTCTGCCATTGTCCAGCTCTACGTTTAGTTAGCCGCGGGAGCATCCTCCGAGCAGGCCCTGTTGCATCAGGGACTCATGCACCGGCCCCAGTGGTGCAACTGCCGTCCGCCTCGCCGGGCAACTATGCGCACGCCCTGTTGGAGGAAGGTGTTCGCCTGGAGATGTCTCGGTCGAGCGCCCTCTCCACGCCGAGGCAGATGGCGTTGAGTCCACCAATTGCAGACATCACGGGTGCGTTGATGCCGTCATCGAGCCCGGCGGAGACTGCAAGTGCGGCGCTGAAGCCGATGAGCAAGAGAGTGATCGTGAAATACACGGCACTGAACCGTGTCCGCGTCTCCAAGTCCGCCACATGCTGCGACACCGCGGAGTCCGTCATGGGTCCTCGGCGCAGGTGGCTGTATATAGGTAACCGTCGACACATCAATGTTTGGAAGGGCACGTGGTTGGAGGGAACGGAAAGTTGGGCGTATTTTTCTTTTATCCCGCCGAAACCTATGAAAAATGCTACATACACTGAAAATGTAAGAGCCACATACATTGAAAATTGGGAGTTGTTGCTGTGGTGGTAGAGGTGGTAGTGTGGGTGGGGGTGGGGAGGGGGTTGCATGATAAGATGCTGAAAGGGGGAGAAGGAACTGGTTGCCTCATCACCGGCGTGCTGCCCGCCCTTCTCTGCCTCGCTGCCTGCCTGCTTTCAATGAGCGTGCGTCGCTGCCGGCGGCGGTCGACCCAGGAGCGTGGGCCATTCTCCTGCTTGTGCGACGTGTTCCGCCCGACCAGCCCAGACAAGCACGCCCGCAATCTGGCCTCAAGCGAGTACGACAAGGAACAGCAGGCTGCTGCTGTAGCGCTGGTATCGCATCCAACTGACGAGCTCGCCTTCAAGCCCGAGCTGCCAGAGCGCACGACTGGAAATCTCACACTGCGCCTCGACTCGCACCCCACCCTCCGCCACCCACGCCTGCACGCCAAGATGGACGGCAAGAGGGTTACTTCTGACGCCGTCAATCTCCTATTCGACTATCTCGAAGCAAGTCTCGCTCTCTCCCAGCAGAGCGTCGCGCTCTGGGATCTGCGGGCCTGCCCACTGCCGGGCCCGACACACTTTGCAGAGTGCGTCCGCCGAGGGCTTGAGCTTCGGCCTCAGCTCTCCGCCCAGATTCGGCTGCTGGTCGTGCTACTTCCTGCCTCCCTGCCGATGCGGCTTGTCGTCGTCACGTCCCTACGCCTGATGGTACCAAAGGTTCCAACGCTGGTGACGTACGATGAAGCCCGCGCCCTCCACTGTATGTCGCGGTTGAGGAAGGAGCGGGCCTGTTAGAGATGCGTGCTCTCTGCTCCTCTGTTTGCTCGTTTCCATGCTCAATTCTCGCTCTCTGTCTCTCTTTAAGTACTGGTGCTCTCCGTCTCTGTCTTCGCTCGATTCCGAGACGCCAGAGACGCTCTCTTACAAGGTTTTTTCTCACTTCGAGTCGCTTGCCGGTTCTGTGACTGTGTGTGTCTACTGTGGATTATGTGGATTTGTGTGATGACCCCACAAAAAACCAAGATAGGCATGCACCGGACAGATAGGACATGAAACTCTCCGGAGGTACTGGCGACACAGCTGGATCACGAAGCGGGCGGCTGAGCAGGGTCGATGGCCCGCTGGGCCTCAAAGGCTCCCACAATTTTGAACTCGGCCAGGATGCCCCGCGCGCGGAAGATGCCGACATCCGCTCCGATATCCTCCTTCACGGTGAGCCGTCCCGCCGTTAGCTGCAGTGGCAAAGTAGAGCCGTCGCCCTCCAGGAGCGCGTTGAAGTAGAGCGGACCGGGGGGAACGAGTTCCTCCTCCCCCGCCCGAATGCCAGTGGACTGAAGGCGCCAAGAGATGGCCTTTGGCACGTCCCGGTCATCCGTCTCCGAAACCTTCCAGAAACCCTCTGCCGCGAGCAACCTGCTTGGCCTCGCCAGTCGAACGGTGCCCTGAGGTGGGTCAAAGCCGGCATCGATCTCGAAGCGCACTCCGCAGTCGAGTCGCACGTCGGTCGACGCATCTGTCCTGCCTCGCGCAAGCGAGCCCGATCCGCCGAGGCTGGATGCGACGGCAGCACCGAGCTCGCACCGGATCGCCCACTCTGGCTCGCATAATTCGCTCAAGACAAGTTCGGCGGCGGCCGAGTCGGCAGCGTCTGGCGAGAAGAGGTCAGCAAGCCAGTTTAAGCGGGCGGGCGGAGCACGCGGCGGAGACGGCCGGAGCCGATGCTGGGACACGAGAGCGGCTGGCGAGTAGAGGCCCCGCCTACCCAGGGTACCCTCTCGAGGGACCCATTGGGTAGCTCTTTCGAGGGCTCGCCGGGGCTCTGCTCCAAGAGACCTCGGGAGAGCGTGCGTGTGCCTCTACTCGCCAGCGAGAGCGGCAGCGAGCATCGTGCCAGAAAGAATTCTGCCATCTGGATGGTCAGCCGAAAGCAGGGATGGAGGACTGCACGCCGCCACCACAACATTATGTTCGCCAATTCTCGCAGGAAACTTCTCCTTTAAGTCACTTCACGGATCACGGTCTTCTCACTCTCATCGTTCTCTCTCCTGCCGCTTCGTCCTCTGACTCAAACAAAGCTCTCCTCGGCCTCGTGCTGCAACGCCGCCGCCGCCTGCCGCCCTAGGGAGTGCGCGGGCAAAAAGAAAGAATTCTTAAATACAAGCCTCTCTCACAGCACACTGGCACGACAAGGGCGCGGACTGGCGCGGACTGGCACACACACCGGCTCAAAAAGAAAGAAAGAACAGCTGTGGCTATGGAGACGATGGCCGGTTGGGCCACGGCGATGAGCAGAGCCAGCTGCCCAAGAAGATCGAGGCCTTCGCTGGCCAGCGCGTCGTGGCAGTGTCGGCTGGAGCATTCCACAGCCTCGCCCTCACCGCCGACGGCGCCGTCTGGAGCTGGGGCTTTGGATACGCTGGCCAGTTGGGCCACGGCGACCAGCAGCACCAGCTGCTGCCCAAGAAGATCGAGGCCTTCGCTGGGCAGCGCGTCGTCGCTGTGTCGGCGGGGGAAGACCACAGCCTCGCCCTCGCCGCCGACGGCGCTGTCTTTACCTGGGGCGCTGGCGGACTCGGCCGCTTAGGCCACGGAGAGGATTTGTCGAACCAGCTGCTGCCCAAGAAGATCGAGGTGTGGTCGCGGGGGTGAGAGGGGGGCGAGGGGCGCGTGTGGCTGCGATAGGAGTACGACCGGCTCGTGAGAGGCCAAGTGTTCCGGATAGGGTGGGAGAGCCAGCTGGCCAAGCGCTAGACACACACACACACTAGTGGCTGGGACATCATGACGGGGTAGGTAGGGTAGGTCTGGGCCCTCCCGTCGGGTTTTTCCCTCTCTTCACGCTGGAATTTTCACAGCAGAAAAAGAAATTTTCCGTGCAAATCACGATGTCAACCCTCCCCAAATGGGTGATCTGGTGCTTGTAGGGCTTGAGAGTGGCCTGCCATGTCACAGGAAGGACTGTGGTTGCAGGAGAGCACCACCAACCATCACTTTAAGTTGGTATGGTACCCCACCTTCACGCATCGCGTGATTTCTTTTTAGTTTCCCATAAGTAGGGTAGGTAGGTAGGTAGGTGTAGGTAGGGGCAGGGCAGGGGCCGGCCAGGTTTTTGCAGAATTTCATCATGATGTCCGGCAAAGCAAAAAAAGAATACACCTGAGTTCGCAGCGACCTTCATGCCACCTCGCGTTCTTCCCACTCTCGTCCTCGTTCTCTCTCCTGCTGTTTCATCCTCTGACTCATCGCTCTCCTCGGCCTCGTTCTGAGACGCCGCTGCCGTCAGGGGACCTAAAGCTCCTGCTTTTTTCTTTTTCTTTCTTTACTTCCAGCCTGCTGTGGGAACAGCTGACACAGTCTCGCCGAGGCTCGCCCCAGCATCTCGGGTTGACTCGGCCAGATATAAAAAACCGAGATACACGCGTCGGGGAGTACCTCGCCACAGGTCGCCAGCACACAAGAGTCAAGACGGATTTTTGAAAGAATTTTTACGACAAATTGCTGTGCGGTGGGGACCCTGTAGTTCCACATCCCTCGAGTAGAGAGAACACGAGACTCTTGCAAAAAGTGGACAACTGCAGATAAATAGCCAGAAGCCACGACTGTTAGGACCTCCGCAGCACGTCGCAGCCAGGCTTGCTCGCGATGTGGTGAAAGAGAGGCGCGTGGCTGTCCGCCATCGCGGAGCCTCCGAGAGGGAACCGGCTGTGGTACCCGTACCTCCTCCTCGTGCTCCGCCGGTCCAGGCCGTAGAAGAGGGTGATGACCCACCGCTCCTCGCCCGGCTGCAGCCGCCGGCAGCCGTGGTACATGCCTCCTCCGTGGTAGACGACGGCCTCGCCCGCCGCCATGTGCTTGAGAGGGAGCCAGCCGCTCGGTGGCGTGGGCGGCGGTCGGACGCCGGTCGACTGCGACTCTGCATACACAAAGAAGAAGGCGCCCGCTGTGAGCTGCACCACGACCGAGAGCTCGTCGTCAGACTTGTGGTCCCGGTGCGCACCCAGCTGGGGCTGGGACGAGTTGTGGCGGTACCTGAGCGTGGTGTGTGTGTGACCTTTAAGACTCACATTGCTTCTGCCACGCGCTCATCGGCGCGCCGGTGGTCGCGCCTGCGGATCCACCCATTGTTGAAGGCGAGTCGCCTGACATACCTCCGCTGCACGTGCTGGTGGATGCGGCGCAACAGCGGCCGCGGAATGATGGAGAGGTGGCGTGGAAAGTAGAGGTCGTACTTCTGCGGGTCCGATCCTGGTGCCTGGTCGTCCTTTTGGAGATGTGTAACATTGAGCTTCTGCAGGATCCGCCGCGCGCGCGCCGATGCTTTTCTCGGCTGCTCAGCTTTACGGAGACAGCACTGCCGATAGCTCGCCGCCTCGCGGACGACGAACTTAGCCTCGCTTGCGTTTAATATCGGCGCGATGGAAACTATGTGTGCGGCTGGCAGCGCGAAGCTGAGCATTACACAACGGGAGCGAAACTCGTCCGTCCGTCCCGCTAAGCAGAGAGGGCTTGCATCCTGAGCGATCGGCACCAACGGCACCGGAGGGCGAGTGCGCGGGGCCCGCCAAGCAGGAGGGCAGCGGTAAAGGACGCGCTAGCATCCATGCCCAATTCCTTCACGGGATGGATGTGGGAGAGCAAGGCTGCTACGGCGGGAGACCGAAAGGTAGTCACCAAGGCGCTGTGTGTGTGCTGCTCGTACCCGAGCAACACGGAGGTCAAGGGGCTGCCAAAGTGGGCGTCCACCGGTAAGCATGCACTTCCGGGCTGCGTCGGTGACCAAATGCGGATGAAGGATATGCTCAAAAAGGAGGGCGTAAAGGTGCGCTTCCTGACTGACCACAAGAAGCTCAGCAAGGAGAAGGACTACTCGACCAAGAAGAACATCGTCGCCGAGCTCAAGAAGCTCGTGAAATGGCTTGACGGCGCGAAAGAGGATGGGCCGGTGCGCCAGGCGTGGTTCGTCTATTCGGGCCATGGGGTGATCAATCCGAAGCGGCCGTATAGCCTGCTCCCGGAGGACGCCCCTGACCCCGGCGGCCACGGCTTTGTCATGCTAGAGTCGATTGTGCCCTGCGACTACTTCACGACGTCTGAGCTTCTGAGCGAGGTTGAGCTGGAGGAGACGTTGCAGGGCTTCAACGAAAACGGCGCTCTCCTCGCCTTTATGGACTGCTGCCACTCTGGCACCATCCTCGGTCTCCCATGGGACCTCGAGCTGGACGAGAGCGGCGAAATGGTGGGGTGTCGGGCGCCCCACCCCGAGGCGATCATTGAGCGCTACTCCAAGTGCGGCCGAATCCTGTGCATCTCGGCGGCGCTCGACGCGGAGGTAGCCTACGAGACCAAGGCCGGCGGCGTCTGCACGAACGCCTTTCTCGAGTCGCACAACAAGGGCGACCCGCCGGCAAAGGTGCTGATCGCCATGAACCAGTACGCGAGGGACCACTACATGAAGCAGACCATCAACATGTCGAGCAACGTCGAGTTCACGGACGCGGACGCGGCCGTCATCGCCGGCGGCATCCCGCACTGGAGCAGGTCCCTCGGGAAGATAATGAGCGCACCTGCGGCACTGGCGCGCTCGCTGGCCCCCAAGCCGCAGCCGGTGGTGGAGAGGGCTGTGGCGTTTGAGAAGCACCCCTCTGCCGGCGCCGTCTCCGACTTTCTGTACGCCACGGCCCTGGCCCGCCACGCCGGCGAGTGCGGGGAGAGGGCGCTCGAGATCGCGTCCCAAGGCGCGAGCAAGGCGGCCCGCCTCGCGAGCACGGGCAAGGCGCCCGAAGAGGCGGCGGACGAGGCAAACACCTATGCTCGCGGGCTGATTGACGACGGCGTCGCTCGCCGGCGAGGGTTGTGATGCGCAGGGGGCACGTACTCGAGTAGTAAAGCGTCGCGGGGACGTGCGGGGGGGAAGGGGCGGCACGGGAGAGGCGTGCTGATGATAGGCCTAGCTTTTCCTAGCAAAACACTGTGGGTGCGTGTAGATTTTTTGTTAGAACGGCACGCCGCCCTTTGTTGCTCGCATAGGGATTTTAGGGAACGGAGAGTGGTTCTAGCCTCGTAGCCTGCAGTGCTGGACTCTCACGACGTTTGCACTCGACCGTCGTCTGAGTAACGACTAACGTCTGCCTCTCTCTCCCGATCTCTCGTCGCAGTCTAAGTTAGCCTTGGCTGACACTCTCCTTGCGGTCAATGTCGTTCAAACGTAAAAGAAACATGGGTGTGCGGCGAGTGTGCGGGATGTCTGTGGGCCCGAGAGCGATATGCCATGTCCGCCTTGCGTTGTTTCATTACATCGAAGGCTAAGCTCAAAAGAAACATCCGGCAAAGTGTCCTCTCTGTCGCTGGCCGCAAGGTCGGCTCGAAGCTCTCTGACCGCCATCTGCTTTTGCGACCGCCCATTTTGCAGGCTTGCAGCCTCGTGGGCATGGACGAATACACCGCGTCGAGTCCGCTCGTCACTAACGACGCGGCGCGCCATGATTCGACGGCCCACTCCAGCGATGACACAGGCGTGCAGCCACTCGTGGCTGTCCGTGGCGACGCGATGCCGCCGCACATGGTGAGCCCGACCGGCGGAAGTGGCCGCCACAGTGAGCCTTTGTCCGAGCCGTCGACGGAGCTGGCACGGCCGACAGTGACGCCGGGCCACAGGAGGCAGGGTTCGCGGGCCCTGGAGAGGCTCACCGACACGGTGGCTCCCGCGGCTGCCGCCACGGCGGCGGCGGTCAGCGGCGCAGTCAAGGCGGTGGGCGCGAGCCTCCCGGATCCAATCTCGCTGCTGATGCCGTCGTCGCGGCGTGCGAACGACACGAGCTCGCTCCGCTGGTGGCTGGGCACGCTCGTCTCCGCGACTGCCTTTGTCCTCGGCGCCTTCTTCGCAGGCGGCGCACTTAGCTGCTGGGGAAGCGACTACGAGCGCGGCTGCGCGACACAGGCCGTCAACCTGCCCGACCACGGGGTGGAGACGGAGATGAAGCTGCTCGACTCGGTCGTCCTCCTCTACCTCGGCCTCTGCCTCCTCGGCGGTGGCGGCGGTGGCCTCGCCAGCCGCCTCTACCTGCTGCGGCGCCGCGCGCAAATCGTCGCGCGCGTGCGGAGCGGGCCCTAGATTGCTCGTCAGCGTGAGCGCGCACTCGAGACGACACGTACTCGGGCACACTCCACTGCGCTCCGCATCCGCTCTCCTCGTAGCTGGCGCACCACTAACCGCGAGTAGTGACTCCCCGTGTGTCCGCTTGCCGCAGGCGCGAGCTGGACGGCGTTGAGACGCGCGGAGAGGCGGGCCGACATCTCAGAGACACCTCGTAGACACCTCCGGCCCCCGACACCTCCTCAGCACGCGGGGCCACCCCGCGGCCAGACGCTGCCGCCGTCCCCGCCAGTCGGAGCCGTCCGGGACACGTCCACGGCGCGTCCGCAGGTGACGGAGCGGCTGATGGCGGGGCTGAAGCGGTCGATGGACCTGGTCCACGACCCGTCGCTCCGGCTCGCCCTCTCGTTCGAGGGCCTCTCCTACCGCCTCCCTTCGGGCGAGGCGGTCCTCACCGACGCTTGCGGCGAGGTGCTGCCGGGCGAGCTCACCGCGCTGATGGGCCCGTCCGGGTGCGGCAAGTCGACACTCATCAATCTGCTCTCCGGCAAGCTGACGCCCTCGTCCGGCTCCATCCGGCTGAACGGCGTGGAGCGAGAGGAAGAGCTGCCGCCAGCCGCCCACGCAGTCACGAGTCGCTCTGCTCCGTCAGGCCGCCCCGCGCGACCGCGCGAGGTGCACAAGCTGATCGCCTTTGTGCCGCAGGACCAGATCGCCCGAGATCACCCGAGATCACCTAGACTTGCTCGAGAGCACTGCTCGAGAGCACGCAAGCTCCTCGCCCTTCATGCCGCACTCATTGCTCCATCCACGCCTTTCCTCTGTCTGTTCACCCGCTGGTCGGCCCGCGCCGCAGGAGGACGTGTTGCTGCCCACGCTCACCGTCACCGAGTCGCTCTGGGTGTCCGCGCGGCTGCGGCTGCCTGCAGAGACGCCCGCGTCGCAGCTGAACGAGTGGGTGGTCCGGCTGGTCGACTTGCTCGGTCCGGCAGCACGCCGAGGGGGGCGGCGGTGCTATCGAGAGAGGAGTGTGTCCGCTTCCGTCGCTCTCTAGGCCTGACGCACGTCAAGGAAAGGTCAAGGAAAGGTCTAGGAAGTGTCTAGGAAGTCTTCCTCGCTCTCTAGGCCTGACGCACGTCAAGGACGCGGCCATCGGCGACGTTGCGCGGTCGGGCCTGCTGCCGGGCGGGGAGGGCGGGCCGGCGTGCGTCACAAGACGCGCCCACGACACGTGTCCTATAGGAGGGGCCTGTCGGGCGGCCAGCGCAAGCGAGTCAACGTCGGGGTGGAGCTGCCGACCCGTCCCTCCTCTTCCTATTCACACCCTCTATCCCGCTGAGCTGTGAACAGGTCGAGCTTGCGGCCGACCCGTCCCTCCTCTTCCTATTCACACCCTCTATCCCGCTGAGCTGTGAACAGGTCGAGCTTGCGGCCGACCCGTCCCTCCTCTTCCTCGACGAGCCTACCTCCGGCCTCGACTCGACCGCCGCCCTCGAGCTCTGCCCGTGCCCCCTAGATGCCCCCCTAGATGCAGCCTAGATGCGGACTACGGACCTGCGCCCGCCAGCCAGCAAGGACTGCGCGCGATCGCTTGCCACCCCCTCGTCCTCACCAGAGGCTCAGAGTGCAGCGCGCGACGCCGCACGTGCACGCCATCAGAGTCGCCCCCGTGTCCACCCCCCCGTGTCCCCCCACCCCGTGTCCACCCCCCCGTGTCCACCCCCCCGTGTCCACCCCCCCCGTGTCCACCCCCCCGTGTCCACCCCCCCCGTGTGTCCACCCCCCCCGTGTGTCCACCCCCCCCGTGTCCACCCCCCCCGTGCCACCCCCTCCAGGCTCGTGCCTCGTCGGCCTCGCGTCGCACGGGATCGCCGTCTGCGCCGTGCTGCACCAGCCGCGCCTCTCTCTCTTCGAGCTGACGCAACCAGCCGCCGCCGCCCGAGCCATCCAGGCGAAGGGCACGTCCATGACACGTCCGGGGCGTGTGTGCCGACAGGCACAAGCTGCTCCTGCTCGACCCGTCGGGGAGGACCGTCTACATGGGACCCACCGAGGCCGCCGCAGACCACTTTTGCAGCCTCGGCTTCCGCGCAGCCTTCGAGAGCTCGCGCGAGAACGTGGCCGACCTGCTGCTCGACGCGATCTCGGGCGCCATCCGCCCGTCGGAGCAGACAGCGGCGCCGTCGGACCAGCAGACGCCCCACGGCGCGAGCCAGCCCCTCACCCCTTCGCCCCTCAGCCGAGGCCGCGGCCCCCGGCCCCATCACCGCCGCGAGGGGCGGCGACTAGGCGCGGCGCGCAGCCTCGACCTCGCCGAGGCGTGGAGGGCGGCGCGCGCAGACACGGCCGCCGGGGCGGCCGCCGCAGCCGCCGAGCTTGGCGCCGTGCAGAGCCCGCGCCGGCGGGCGACGCGCGCCGCCGCCGAGATGTCGACGCTGGACCGGCGGCTGCGGCACCACCACGGCCGGCGTACTGCGTCGGGGTGCCGGCAGCTCGTTCTGTTTGTTTGGCGGTCGGCGGTGCGGCGTGCGCGGCACGGCAGGCGGGACCGCCCGGCCCCTGAGCCCGTTCGGAGCTGCTCTGCAGGTGCAGCACGCGCGGGACGGCGGGACGCTGCTGCGCAACGCAGCCATCGTCGGCGTGGCGGGCACGCTGCTCGGCTTCCTGTACGAGGGCACGCTCGAGAAGGCCGTCTGCGCGCACGTGCAGGACATCCCCTTCCCGAACGGCCCCCACGCTTGGGAGGTGCGGCACTCTCTCCAGCCGCCCGCTCCGGCTTCACGCTTGTCGCCTCTCCCCCTCGCCTCTCCCCCTCGCCTCTCCCCCTCGCCCCTCCCCCTCGCCTCTCCCCCTCGCCTCTCCCCCTCGCCTCTCCCCCTCGCCTCTCCCCCTCGCCTCTCCCCCTCGCCTCTCCCCCTCGCCTCTCCCCCTCGCCTCTCCCCCTCGCCTCTCCCCCTCGCCTCTCCCCCTCGTCCCGCCTCCGCCTCGCCCCGTCGCGCCCCCCTTCTCCTCCCCTCCTCACCCCCGCGCTCTCCTCTTCCTTTTGCAGGAGGGCTGCCGCGCGCGCCTCGCCTCGGGAGGCGCCTTCACCGCGGCGCCCGTCTTTTGCTTCGGCGAAGGGACGCCGGCGGCGAGGATCGACTTGGCGCAGTTTCGCGACGTGACCTCCAAGTTGGTGCAGGCGCTCACGCTCACCCTCCTCGCCGTCACCATCGTCTCCATCCAGGTCTCGCTCAACTTGCTCGGCGGAGAGCGCGCGATCTACTGGAGGGAGTCGCGGCATTACTCGGTCTGGGCCTACCTCCTCGGCAAGACGGCCGCCACGCTGCCGCTCACGCTGGCGTACCCCTTCCTCTTCCTCCTCCCCTTCTACCAGCTCTTCCGCCCGTGGGCGACGTGGCAGGCGAGTCGGACCACTGCCACTTGCTGCCGCCCTCCGCCGCCCTCCTCCGCCGCCCTCCGCCCGCCTCCGCCCGCCTCCGCCCGCCTCCGCCCGCCTCCGCCCGCCTCCGCCCGCCTCCGCCCGCCTCCGCCCGCTGCTGCCTGCTGCCGCCCGCTGCCGCCGCCCTCTCTCCGCCGCCTCGCACGCTCCGCACCCGCCACGGCCGCAGGTGTACTACGGCATCCTGGTGCTCGTGCAGTTTGCCGGCGAGGGCATCGGCCAGCTCATCTCCCTCCTCGCCACAGACAGCCGGCGCGGGCCCGGCTGCAGCGCGGCCACCCGCCCGGGCAGAGGGAGGCGCGCGTACTGACGGCTCGGTCCCTCCGGCTGCCCTGCAGGCAGCTCGCGGGCGGCGTGATGGCGCTGCTGCTCACTTGCCTCTCTGGCTCCTTCCCGCTCATCACCGCGCCGCCCATCAAGGCCGTCTCCTTCGCGTCTCTCTCGCGCTGGGGCGTCGAGGCGCTCCGTGCCCGCCGCGTCGCCCCCCTCCTTCACGGCTCTTCACGCGCCCCCGGCTGGCAGCAGGCGCTCTACGCCAACGAGATGTCTCCCTTCTACTACGGCGAGCCGTCGCTGCGAGGCCGCGGCTGCTGCACGTACGAGTATGCGGCCAGCCCGCAGCTGCCCATCCCGTACCCCCTCGCGTGGAACGCGTCGACGCCGTGCCGCAACCCGCTGCCGCCCGGCTCGGCCGAGAAGGTCGCCTCGCTACTCGGCGGCCAGTACGGCTACACGGCCTGGTGGAGGCACAACGACTGCGGCGAGGGGAGCGTGCGCGGGCCGGGGGACCCGCCCCCCGACATTGTCGGCTGCGGCACGTGGGACGGCGAGCAGCCGCTGCTCGGGCTGCTAGCCATCGCCATAGTGGCGCGGCTGCTAGTCCTCGTCGCGCTACTCGTCAAGGACCGGCGGCGGCGTAAGTGACGCCCGGACGACCTCACTCTGTGCGCCGTCCGCGCCTCCCCTGCGTACTCGAGGCGCTGTCTATGGAGTCTGACCGATCGGTGCGCAGCGCGAGAGGGAGAGCCGAGGCCGGTACTCAAACTGTTCGCCCCGAGCCGTGGTGTCCGCCTCTCGCTCTGCACAGTGCACTGGTCTGTGGTGTCATAGCCGAGAGCCGGGTAGACGTAGGCGCATCGCCGCGCCCCCCGCGCCCCGCACCCGCCCTCGAGAGATCGGCAGTGGAGGCACAGGGTTCAGGCACAAAAGTGTACCTTCGTTTAAGCGAGAAGTGTGGAGACGTGGAGCTGGAGGTTGCCGCACCCTCCCGCCTGGCGCGTGGGGCGTGGCCAGGGCCCTGCGGGCTGCGCTCCCCACGACCCCACGCACCCGTGACCTCTCGCCTCTCGCCTCTCTCTCTCTTGCGTTGTATCTGGGGGCGCGCTTATCACACTCTTTTTGATGTGTAGATGATCTTGTATTGCATATCCCTACACCAATATCGGCACCACATCAGCCGTCACACACATGCTCATCCATGCTCACGCCCTCTCCCCCCCCCGCCCGCGCCTCACCCTCCTACAACCTCCCTCTCATGCCCTGCTGTGTAGCCCCCGCAATCGACAGCGCAGCGGCGCCACATTCGCGCCGCGGCACCCCCCCCCCCCCCCCATCCCGCCCGCTGGATGGAACTGGCCCGAGGCACAGTCGCGGTGGGAGCCGCTCACATCGGCTCAGAGCCGGCTCAATATGTGGACCGGAGTGGCTGCGCCGTCAGCCGACGAGCTCGCCCTCCGCCGCCGCCGGCAGCAGCAGGTGGAAGTGGAGCCCACGGCGCAGCAGCGTGATGCGCGGCGCAGTCGCCGGCAGCTCCGCGCAGCTCACCTCGTGGGTCTGGAGCTCGGCCGCGGACATGTCGATGACCTCGACGCGCAGGCCGAGCGCCTCGGACAGCGCCACCATCTCCGGCTGCCCTCCGTACGCCGGAGACCACCACAGCGGCGCAGGCTTGCCGCCGCCTTGCCCGGGCTCCATCTGGGCCATCCGCGCGCAGTAAGCCTCGAGGGAGGGGGAGCCGTCGGCGGCGGCGACGTGGGCGAAGCGGGCGGCGGAGCGGAGCATGTGCGCCGTCGCGCAGCCGCGCAACGCCGCGACGGCGGCGTCGGAGCGCCCGTCGTTGAGCGCGTCAAGAGCTTGCGCGGCCTCGGCAGAGCTGCGGCCCAGCAGCGCGCGGAGGGCGGCGATGGCGGGCGCCGACTCGGCGGGCAGCGAGTCGAGGTGCGCCTCGAGGGCGGCGAGGCCGCCGTGCGCCCACGCCGCGCCGAGCACAAGCCCTGCCGCCAGCGCCCGGAAGAAACAATGGCCGTCGCCCCGCACCTTGACGAGCGTCAGGTGGCGCGGCGCGAGGGCGAGCGCCCGCAGCCCGGCGGCGGCGGCCGCGGCGGGCGCTACCTCGGCGATGAAGGCCTCGAGCGTTGAAGGTGTGGAGACGGCGGGCGGCGGCGTCGCCGCGGCGAGCAGCGAGGCCTGCCCCTCAAGCGCCGCGGCAGGCGCAGGCTCATCGCTCGGCTGCTCCGCAAGAGAGGCGAGGAGAGCGGCCTGCATGGCGGCGTCGTCGTCGGCCGACGAGGGACTGAACAAAGGGCTGTTCTCCATCGTGCGGAGTGGTGGCGGCGACGGGCAGAGCATTGTGGCCACAAAGGAGAGTGCCTTTTGATGCGTCGCTCGATGCACCTTTGAGCCACAATTCGGGTTTTCTTCTTTTTGATTGTTTTTTCTCCTCGCCGCCCTTCCTGCGAGGGCTCGGCGGCCGTTCCTAGAACTCCTCGTCGCTCCCCTCGTAGAGCGAGGGCTCGTTGGACTCGAGCGGGCGGCTCCGCGAGCGACGCTCGCCCAGTCCTTCTTGTTGCTCTTGACCTGCTCTTGACCTCGCCGCCGCCGCCGCCGCGGCCGCGTCCGCCGCGCCGGTCTGCGCGCCGCCCGCGGCTCGTGCCCAGCCTGACCGCGCTCGGCATGCGCTCGTAGACGGTGTCCTTGAAGGCGGTGTGGAGGAGCGCCTCAAAGTTGACGCACGGCGCGTAGCGGCAGCGAGCGCTGTTCTTGCACGGGAGGGCGGTCTGGTTGAAGTTTGGGCAAAAGCCAATCCCGTCGCGCGCCGCCATCGCCTTGACCTTGCCCGCCGCGCGCGCGACCTCGACCTTGTTGTCGACGATGACGCTCTGGAAGGTCTTCTTCTTCGCGACGTTCGTCGCTACGGCGCGCCTGGCCTTGAGTTCCTGCGCGGCGCACTGCGCGTCGTGGATGATGTCGGCGTTGGTCAACCCAAATGCGCGGCAGGAGGGGCAGAGTTTGTTGCCGAGGACCTTGACGCACCCGACATCAAGGCGGAGAGGTCCGCCGACATCGCCGCTCGCGTAGACGTTGGGCAGGACCGGGAGGTTGCAGCATGCAGGCGAGGTTCTCGTTCTTCACCTTGAAGAGGATAGAGCCGTCCTTCTCGTCCGACTTGGCGCCCAGGAAGGTGTGATATCCCTCTTGGACGGAGACGACGTTGCCGAAGTGCTTCTGGAGCAGAGGGGTAAAGTGCTCGATCTGGGCGGCCGTGTTGATGGCGCCGCGGGTGCGGATGGCGATGAGGCCGTCGGACTCCGTCGCCGCCTGGAGCTCGCGCGCCTCCGCCTGCCTGCCCCACTCGGAGGCGTCGAGAGCGACGAAGTGGATGGTGATGTCATCCGGAGCTGGGAGCTGTATGGCGCCACCGCCGGCGTGGTGCTCGAGGAAGGCTCGTGCCTCGCTCTCGCCGCTGAAGGCGACGCAGACGGCCCGCGACGTGCCGATGATGGGCACGCTGATCGCGCTCACCGGCTGCGCCTCGCAGCCTGGCGTCTTCCTCAGAAGCTGTCGAATCTCGGAGACGAGCACCGTCGTGTTCTGGATGTCCGGGATGTGCTTGCCGTCGCGCGCCGCGAGCGCGACGTGCAGCAGGCGCTTCGTGCCGCGGTCGGTGCCGGCGGCCGCCGCAGCGGCCATCTGTGCGGCGTCCACCATAATGGTGTCGCCTTCTTTGGCGTCGTCGTCGTTGACGCGCGAGCTCGCCGTCGAGGCGGCGCTTCACGCCGAGTCTCTGGCCATCACCGGCCTCTTGCTTGCGCGCCGTCGCGGCCGCGCGCGCCGCGCCCTCGGCAGCGGCAGCGTTGAGCGCCGGCGGCGGCAGGCCGGCCGAGGCGAACGCCATTCAAGTGGTGAAGCGCCCTTCACACACGCGACTCGCACGCGCTTCCGTTCGGCTCTTCGGAGTGCCACGTGTGATTTCTCGGAACATCGAGTTTACTGACGACGGGATTACCACTGGTGTTTCGTCCTCCTCTCGTCCTCCTCGGAGTCGTCTTCCCCGGCTTCCTTCCGTTCGGCTCTCGGAGGCGCCAGAAAAGAAAAGCCGCCGCGCGATTTCTCGGAACATCGATTGCCCGAGGTCTCTCGCTACACGTTGAAGATGAGCGCGCGCGTCACAGCGCAGGCCAGGTCTACACTGGCCGCGGCACCAGCTCCCGCGGTCTGCACGCTAGGAGTGGTCCGCCCTCGCAATGAATGCGGAATACTATTACGAAAAGTACAACTAGTGCGACACACTAGTCAGTCTCGTAATCGCGCCAAGAGCGCGGATACACACACAAACAACAGGCGCGGCTATGAATAGCTGCGCATATACAGATAACGACTGTTCACAGTTGGGAGAAAGAGAGTCGTCTCTAACGCTCCCCCCTAGTTGCATCGGCAACTATCTCGGACGACTCGCGCGTCCTCGGCGAAGGGGTGATGACTCACGCCTTGCCGACGGTCGCGACGAGCTTGCTCCACAGCCGGGCAGCCTGCCCCTGGAGCGTCACAGCAAAGCCGGGGCCGTTGCTGGCGTTGAGCATGTAGTCGCGACAGGTGAAGAACATAGCTCGCGTCGTCTGCGTCTTGGTGAAGACGTCGGCGATCATATAAGCAGTGCCGACGAGGTACGGCGCGACGTGGCGGAGCATGAAGAGGCGCTTGACAAACATGGTGGCACGTTCGTAGTAGCGCGTGCGAGCAGTAGAGCCGGGCTTGACGATGATGTCAAAGACGGCTTTGCAGTCACCGAGCTGGGGCGTGGGTCCTGCGACAGCTCGGCCAGCGTCCTCGAGCATGAGCCGGCAGGAGACGACTTTCTTGGCGGCGACGGAGGCGGTGGCGGTCTCCTCTTCGGCGACGCTGAGAGCCTCGATCTTGGACTTGTTGGCGCTCCAGTCGATGGCGCCGTTGTTGAACATCACGACGCATCCGCCGTAGTGTGGCGCCTTGCCGAAGGAGGCGTCATGGTAGGCGTGGAGGCCACGAGACTCGATGAAGCCTGGCAGGAAAGTGTCGAGTCCGTAGGGGATCTTGAGCTTTCCGCCGTAGGTGATGCCGAGGTGCTTTGTGGCGTTGAGATAGTTGATGACGGTCATGATGGCGTCACGATGGACGGCGCCGCAAGCCTGAGAGAAAGAGCCGAGCTTCGAGAAGAAGTACTTGATGTCGGGGCGCGTCATCTCGGCAGGCCACCCGATGGTTCCTAGCGGCTTCAGGAACTCGGTGACGGGGATGCGGTCGCACTCGGCAGCAGGCTCGAGCTTATCGAAGAGGGCGCGCTGGACGTCGGTCGAGCCGGCTGGGGTGGACTGAGCACCAGCGCCAATCTCGTTGCCGTAGAGGGCGGCAATCCGCTCGATGTACCGGGTCTGCCGAATAGTGAGCGTGCGGTTGGCTCGGTCGCGGAGTACCTCGATTCCGGTGAAGACGGAGATGGGGACGATATCGAGCGTCGCAATCTTGATGTACGTTCCATATTCCTCTTTGAACCGGACGTACTGGTCGGTGGCAGAAGCGGCAAAGCCGTTTGCGACGTCGTCTGCAAAAACAACGATGATTTTTAGGCGAAAGGCTGGGTGGCTGTAGAAGTTTGGCTCGGTGAGCGAGGCGACGCAGCCAAGCTTGACGAGGGCGTCCTGGTTGAGTTTGAACCAAAGGTAGGAGCCCTGTTTGATGCCCTCGAGCGCTTTGAGAAGCATGAGCACAAAGCCCTTCTTGACGAACCCGGGTGGCATCTGGGTGTAGATCTCGGCATCGACGTCAGCCTGAGTAAACGCCTTGACGCCGTCGGCCGTGTCAGTCTCGAGGTCTTCGTCGGCGACTATGGCACACCATAGGCGGAAGGCTGTTGCGCTCAGAGTGCGCGCAAAACACTCGTGGTACTCCTTGCCTTCACGTTGTCCAAAGCCTTTCCCAACGAGACGA